CGCTGACGTGCAGCTATCCTCGTTTCGACGAATGCTTACGAGTTAACGAATGTTAACGTGTTTACGAATGTTTACGAGTAGATAACTCAGCGCCTGCAAAGTTTGTTTCACGCCTTGTTTAGTTCCTGGCGCCCGACGGAGACACATGCACCAGACTGTCTTGTCATCACTTGTCGCCGATGAGTCATCCAGACGTCACTGCTCTGCGCCGCTGGGTACAATCATAAGTTGTACGAGCACACGAAGCTAGGATAGCTATAGTTTGACTAACGTCTGTGTCTGCCGACAGGCACCCACCCGACCATCGACCAGATGCAGGTGCTGGTCACCCGTAACCGGGCGCGCCCGCTGCTGCCGGAGGTGTGGAAGGACACGAACCCGGCACTGCGCCAGCTGCGGGAGACCATTGAGGACAGCTGGGACCCGGACGGCGAGGCGCGTCTGACGGCGCTCTGCATGCTGGAGCGCATCAGCGAGCTGCCGCTGCTCTGGGAGAGATATAAAGGTGGGTAGTGGGCGTGCACGGAGCGTAAGTGAGACTTTTAACGGTGCTGTGAGTGTTGGGATGAGGCAGTGATGGATGGAATAAGAACGTTTAGAGCACGTGTGGCATGACATAAGCGTGACGTTCTCGAATTTCCCGTTTTTTATATAACTTACAGAAAGTCGGATTGGCAAGCAATGCCTACAGAATCTGACATTTCATTTAAAAATCATAGAACTTCTTTTGGCTGAAATATAACGGTCTCGTGAAGGATTGCTAAATTGCTACAATCATTTGTGTCGGGTTGGCTGCGTTTGCTTCGTTCTTGCTATCTTAGCGCCACAGCAATTGACGGTAAAATATTATGATCAAAATATACTAACAAATGCAATGCGTTCGCGTTCTTTGCAGGTAACCTGGGCCTGAACGGTCCGCTGCCGACGCTGAACCTGGTGATCCAGCAGCAGGAGCCGGAGAAGGTAAAATCGGACGTGAACGTTACGAGCGGCGAGCTGACGGAGCTGGAGCCGTCAGAGACGACAGCGGAGACGCTGCTCACTCTGTCTCCGGACCAGGAGATGAACCGTGAGTTGTTCCCAGAGACCCTGCTCACGCTGTGACTCTCCCGACCAGGAGATGAGCCGTGTCCGTGAGTACTCTGTCCCCCGACGAGGAGATGAACATTGAGTAGAACCCCACAACTAACACTCCAGTGAGCGGAGACGCTGCTCACACTGCTGTTTCCCGATCAGGAGATGAGTCGTGAGAACCCCTATTGCTGACACTTTACCCAATCAGTGGAGACGCCCCTCGACCAAGAGATGAACGGCGAGTCGCCCGTCCCCGTCTATTAACCTGTCCCCCGACTAGGAGATAAACCGTGAGTGGGGCCTTATGTTGATCCTGCTCTCTGATCAAAAGATGAACCGTGAATTCAGAATTTTTCCGGAGACACTGCTTGTGCTCACCGTGTCCCCAACCAGGACAGGAACCAGGAGTCCCCAGCGTCATCTGCAGTCTTAGCCTATCCTCTGACAGAGAGATGGATCGTGAGTCCCTCTTAGGGGAGATGCTGCTGACCCTGTCCCGTGACCAGACTCTCTCCCTATCAGGAGGGACGCTGCAGGTGACCCTATCCTCACTGCATTAGAGGTACGGGTGGGGTCTGCACGCACATATCCTTGATCAGGAGATGGACGAGTGGAGAGCGGAGACGCTAACTGACACCAGGGAGACGCTGGCAATCATGGCATTAATTATAGTAGGGAAAGTTCGCTTAACCCGCGCCGGGCCGGGGGGCACACCTCTTCGTGCATCTTTTCCGCACATCTTATGAAAATTTCAGACCCAGGTGGCCTTAGGTCAGGTCACCAGGTCACGCCAAGTGACCCCACCTCAGAAAAATAAGAATGCTCGTCATAGCTACACCGATTGATCGCTTGCCTTGAAACTTTCAGCGATTGATAAGAGCAACAGTATCTATAAAATGTATGTCTCGGAATTTCGATATCGGTAACCTAAGGTCAGGTCAATTTTGCGGCCTCTCCATTATAAGTCAATGGGAGAAAATTGAAAAGCGTCTGTTTTGCACGAACGCCATTCTAGACACTCTCAAACATCGAGATGTAGGTAAAATTGACACACTGAACCGGAAAATGGCAACTGTGATCCCTCGTTATGTCCCCGAGGTCATCTCAGGTCACGAACAGAATATAACAGTTTTTCGCTAATAACTTCTGATAGAGGCGAGCTAGAGCGCTGAAAACGCCTTAGATGTGTTCGGCTCGACGTTGCGGATCGACTGATATGCAGCATGACCTTTTTCGGTCAGGTCATGACCTTGACCTGAGGTCAAATTTTCAAGTTGACCTTTCAAGGTCAAATTATAGTTCATTCGACGTGTCTCGACGAGAGGAACACGATGCTGGCAAAAGTAATGTCATGGCTCTTTTGAGTCAAAAGTTATCGCCGAAAAAAACGCTTTTCGTAAAAACGGCTATTTTTGGAGTTTTTGCCCTCTAGAGGCTAAATCGTTGACCTGAGGTCAAATCTGAGAACATTACTCAGAAAGGCCTGTAAAAGGGCTATCGAATGCGCTTTTCCGCGGCGCTGTAGCTCTATCGGTTCCCGAGATAGCCGTTGGCAGTTTCCAAAATGTTGAAATAGTCAACATGTGACCTTTGGTGACCTCTGGTGACCTGACCTTTGACCTGACCCAAAAAATGACCGAAGTGTTTTCGTCCTTATTTTGGACGTTCTTTCGATTGCCGCTTACCGCGTGTCGCTACGTGGCCCAGGAGCCGAGTTAGAAGGGGGGGGGGTGTTCAGACACCCCCCCCCCCCCGGCCCGGCGCGGAATCTCAGAGCACCGGCCCGGCGCGGGTTAAGTCGTCCCTTCATGTGTGATTTTTATCTTATTTGATTAAAAAAACAATTTAATCCATTTGTTTGAAATTGTTTACTTTTAAAATTTATGACAGCAATATGTTAGAATTGCCTACCCATTCTGAGCTTTTAATGGACCATTTTTTCCAGCTGCAGAATTTAAGCCCTGGCAGCAAATCCGTTTTGTTGGCTCAGACGCTGAAATATGACCTTTGGTTGACTGTTTCTCGTGCTGCTTACGATAAGCTGTGATAACTATGTGATAAGATGGTGAGGCGATTATACTGCCCGACGAAATGTGGCAGGACACTCAACTGCTGTATTCCGTGTATTGTTCCATTGTTGCCGCTATTAGCCTGCTCTGGCATTATACTGACCCGTCTCTGCTGTGTCCCGCTGTTCAGTGCGGAACGCCCAGGTTTCCGCACCGCCGCAGTACGTGTCACAGATTCAGCCGTACCAGGGCCGCAACCCGTGCATCGAGCGGAACCTGGCGGCGGCCGACCAGTCTTCCGACTATCTGGTGGACGGTAACACGCTGATCGAGCGCTCGGCGGCGCCGCCGAACGGCGTGCTGCCGCCCGAGTCGCAGGCGCTGCTCTCGCCGATCGCGTCGTCGCCGCCGCCGGCGCGCCACGGCGCCACGCCCATCCCGATCGTGCAGAACGCCGTGCACGGCGGCGGCGGGCCGGCGGCGGGAGCCGAGCCGGCGCCGGCGCGCGGCTGGCTCGGCCGGCTGCGGCGCGCGCTGGCCGGTCGCGGCGGCCGCGCCGCGGCCCAGCCGGTGCCGCTGCAGCCGGTGCTGCCCTCGAAGACGGTGAACGTGGAGACGGCCGGCGACTGCGGCGACCCTGAGCGGCCGCGCTCGCTGCCGCTGTAACCGGCCGGCCGCAGGTCCAGTGCTGGGCTGTGATACCGCACGGCGTCTGCCCCGCCAACGCGCTGTTTGGTACTGCTGCTTTCGCCGCGCCCCACGCCCTTATTACTTTTGTACTGAGCACTGCTGCCCGAAAACACCTGCGTTCTCTGTGTACTTTAAACGGATCGGTGTATGTGCATGTCAAGTTCTTACATGCCAAGCCTATTCGACTGCCTGTAACCGTCGTCTTTGAACCCAGGCCTGCGTACTCTGTTTATCATGTGCAGCGCTAGGATATTGTCGGCTTCATAACTGTCGGATGGAACGGACTGTACTACGCACTACGCAGAGCTAGAGGTGCGAACTCCGATAGACAACTCAATCATTGTATCTGACCGAGATTCATTTTAGTTCTCGCGTAATAAAAATGGATTTCGGAATTAGATCTGTGGTTGGTAGAAGCTACCTTTTTTTACTAATTTCATTGTACAAATACTTTTATTAGTTGCATGTTTTGCGTATAAAGCAGCTTTGCGAGACCAACAGTGAGACGACGCTGTTCATCTCTCCAAGCTGTGCTGTCGCGGAGTGTGTGGCGTTTTTGCACGCTCTGTTTATAGATAAGCGGTCAGCTCTGGTTACAGACCGATCAGATCTGACCAGCGGTGAACGGTGATGCGATAGCCGCGGTGCCCGGACGGCGCCCTCACGCGCAGTGTCCTCGCGCCACTGAAGCGCATGCCCCAGATGGGAACGGACGCAACATAAGTGAGATTTGAAAATGTGTGCTAAAAGGTGTTGCTATTATATTTGTGGCATGAAGGGGACTAGCGGTTTGCCGAAATGCACGACAATCCAAACCGTTTGTTTCTTTCCTGCTGACAGTGTTGAAACGGCGTTGAATGTGACGTCGATTCCGGAGGCTTTCGAATCGAGCCTTGAAATGTGCTGACAACAAGGAGTGGTGAAATGAGCTTATTCAGTATTCGGGCGGAGGCTGATCGATATACACATTTCGTACTTTTTATATCGTTCTAACTTCAAAAAGTTTCTCAGTCAATTATTGCTCGCCACTTCTTTTTAACTACACGGCGGTCCATGCCTTCAACTTGTCAGGGATATCCGAACAGATAGCAGCATTTCCGTGTTGTCGGCGTTGGTATTGAGCTGATTGACCAAGTGCAAATCGACCTTACAATCCATTGCCTTCAGAAGTTGCGCGCTTCGAGTCGTACGACAAAAGCTTAGAAATGACAAACTTAGCTGACTCCATGGATATAGTTATTTGTATTTTAGCTTTGTCCGAGTGAACACAACACCGGGGCACATAATATCCCACTCCGTTTCGGGCGTTATCAATGTCAAAGACCACGCCGAGGAGCAGTAAACGTTGTCTGCTCGGTAAGCGTTCAGAGTACAGATAGACACGCGCCGGCCACCGGCCGTCGGAAGCACAATCACGCCCAGCCGTGTCGGCTGAGAGCTCGGTGGAGCGGCGCAGGGAGCCGCTCAGCGGCCGCAGCGGGATCCAGTCCCACACACACCCTCATGCTCGTATAACACACCTTCAAAAGTCACGTTCGCACCTTCATCTATCACAACAAATGCGGGGTCAGCAGTCGAACACCGACCTGCCGACCAAGTATGCTCGGCACCGCGCCGTTAGGGGAGGGCCGCGAGCGCCGCTGGTCCATCAGATATATGCCTGTCGGCTGTGTGCGTTCACCTGCGCGGCGGGGGAGGTCCGGCCTCGCGGCGGGGCCGGCTGCTGCTCGGTGCGGCCACCTAGCCGGGAGCGCAGACTGGCCTGGAGCCGCCCGAGCGCCCGGTTCAGGGGCCGCGCCTCAGTCGACTCTGCCCGGTCTCCCGGCCGCTGGGGGAGGACGGCTCCTACACCTGTCGGCCGGATAGACAGTCAGCCATGTTAGGAGCACCAATGTCAGCGGATTCTAGAGCTTCGAGGTGAAAAAGAACACGACCGTCTGCTCGAATCTATGTAGTAAAACTCCACGAGCAATCGCAAGGCGGGCTGCTCTATAAACATTACGCATCACCATTTTAACACTATCGTTCTTGGTATAAAACGTCAGTAGAACTGAGACACCGGGGCAGCATTACAGAAATAGTGGATGACAAACATACCGGCTGCCTCAAGCGGTAGCGCTGGCGGCAGTGGCGGTGGAGGCGGTGGTGGCGGCGGCTCCGAATGCCGTTGCCGGACCGGCTGTATCACGTCACGCACCGGCGTGGGCACCTCATACGCCGCCTGGGTCTTCTCTGGGACGGCCGGCGGCACAGAGTCGGTGTCGGAGTCGGCCTCCTCGCCGCTGCACCGCCGGTCCGGACCGCCGACACCGCGCAACGCGGCGCCGTCGGCGACAAACACTGCAAACAACACAGTGATGGGCTAACGACACATCGGCTCACCGTCAACAACAAAACACTGCAAACAGCACAGTGATGGGCTAACAACACATCGGCTCACCGTCGACAACAAGCACTGCAAACAGACACGGTGATAGGCTAACGACCAGACATGTGCTTGGATCCGGGAAAATGGATCTGAGATCCGATCCCATGGATCCCGATCCGAGATCCATTCAGATCATAGATCCAACCCCTCAATTTTGTCGAGAGATCTACTGGGATCATAGATCTGACCCTTCAATTTTGTCGATAGATCCACTCGGATCATAGATCTGGCTCCCTAATTTTGTCGCGAGATCCATTGGGATCATAGCTCAAAGGTGCACAAAATGTTTAAACTTTCTTGCATAAAGAAGTTATAAATACCAAAGTATGGTTAGAAACAAACAATCTTATACAAAGGCCATATTAGTAAAGGGCATCCAGTTACATTATACAGAATATAAAATAAAGGAGGCTCATGACAGTCACAACTTATGTGAATTGAGTGACATGAAGATTGTTCACATACCAACAGAAAAGTTTGCATTAACAATTAAGATACAGGTAAGTAATGACTAATGAAGAATACATTATTAGGTACATCACAATTAATGTTAGAATCTACATACTGATAAGACAATCTTGCATTAGACAACCATGAGGCTTTCCAGCTAACACAATTAATTGATAAACAATAAAAGATGATATTGACACCTAAGGCTTGGCTAGGTTAAGGTATTTCAATCTATTGAAACTAATATTTGATAAAATAAACTGAGATATCAACAAAAGTATAAAAATATTCAACAGCCTGGGGAACACGCTGGGGAAGCGAAGGGTGCGTTCGGAGAGCGCGGAATATTCCCCGTCATCGTGAAAATTCCCCGTGTTGCGTTCGGAGAGGGACATTCCATGCCGCCAATTTCAAGGATCGCCGCTACTGCGCCAAGTTGAGTTCGTGGGATTTTGTTTGGGTTATTTCCGTTATTTGGTTATTTGGAACGCCACATCTATGGCAAGATGTAATAAGAATGAAGCTCTTGAAGAAAGAACAACTAAGAAAAATCACAATTATTTTCAAAAAGTTCCATCTGTACTGTGCCCCCCCCCCCCCACCCCCACCCCAAACACACACAACACAACACTTCAAATTATCGTTTTCATTGCTTCAGAGGACAATCACACAACTGAGTAAGCATTATCAATTGTGGGTTTTGCAATAAAACTGATCAGGGTGGAAACAAACGCAAGAAATATCAATTTATATTCAATAATATACTCACTCGAGCATACCAATGGGCGCCGCCATCTTCACGGGAACGACGCGTGAGATGCTTTTTAGATTCCGCGCTTTCCGCGTCCGTTCCGCGGAACTTTCCCCGGGAATCGCTCTCCGAACGGCACATTCGGCGGAAATTTCATGCCGGCGTGGAATATTCCCCGGGAATCTGCCTCTCCGAACGCACCCTATATATCAATTGTAATGGCCTTGGCTATATACCGTAAAATGACTATTCAGTCTCTAAGTAGAATTGGTGACGTCATTTCAAATAACAAATGAGCTAAGTGTTCTACTTTTGAGTTTAATAATAATAAATAAAAAATCAAACTGGAAATTTAAAAGTCTGTTTTTTTTCTTCAAAATAATGTTCATCTTTTTCTGCCTCACATAATTTTACGTTATGATTGTTCGTGAATATCATCTTTGTAGCGTTGAATTTAATGACGTACACGTAAGCTGAAATGGTATTACATAACCCTTGAGCGGGAGACATTCATTGCGCGAGTGATACAAGTGCGCCATGCATCTTTTTTATACACTTTTCAAAAAAAATCACAATATCTTACGTCATTAGTCCAAAGGGCCTATAACGGGGAACCTTTTGAATCATTACGGTTTTAGTCAGATTAAGATTTTTCATTGGTCAAACGATAATGACGTAATAAAACAATATTACCAAAACGTGAGCTGTGAATTTCGTTTGTCGTTTTTGGGAGGCTCTCATAACAAAAGCACAGCATGGCACCGCACTTGGCACGGTGCCAAAGTAGGTAATCTGAAGAAGTTAATGCCTCTTTTGAACTTGGAATTTTAAAGGAAAGTATTAGAGGTTGGTTGCTACTCTTTCTCTTACTAAATCGAAATTGGGTTTTCATACCTGGTAGAATAAGTGGATTGCTGGATTATTTTGAGCAAGACTAACCTACTTGGCTTCCAGGTTTGATTTCCCAACATCTGTCCATAGGCGGCGGAACGGGAGGGGGGGGGGGTGGCACCAGGGCACCGTGCCCCCCATAGATTTTTGCATTTTAACATTAGTCCTACTGGCGTTGCATGGAAAGAATGGGACCAAAAGTCTGCAGTGCCCCGCCGCCACGGCATCTGTCTGTACTGTTTGTTCATTGAATTAAAGTGGCTGTAGCTTGTTGATATGATTGTCATCAGTGCTGTCATGAAAAAGTTACAACTGGTCACAAAAAGTAGCAATGTGCATGTTCTTGGTTTATTTTAAATGTAGTACAAATGTTCTTTATTTAAAGTCAAATTTATTGATGATACTTAATGATTGCAACTAGTCTTAACCATGTCCACAAGTGACAATTCTCAATTGTATTGCATTGTAAGGTGTAAAAATTAAAATTATGTAGGATAAGGGTTTCATTGGCTACATCTTGTCGTGAGATCCATACAGATCATAGGCCCTCCGCAAATTTTTGCCCGCTGGATCCACAGAGATCATAGATCTGACCCCTAAATTTTGTCGAGAGATCCATTCAGATCATAGATCCGACCCCTGAATTTTGTCGAGAGATCCACTCAGATCATAGATCCAACCCCTCTATTTTGCCGAGAGATCCACTGAGATCATAGATCCAGCTCTCGGATCCATGCACATGTCTGCTAACGACACATCAGCTCACCGTAGGCAACAAACACTGCAAACAAACACGGTGATAGGCTAACGACACAAAGGTTCAATGTCGGCAGCAAACACTGCAAACACAGACACAGTAATGGGTTTTAACAATGCCAGCCTTTTAATTGGCATGCGGCGTGAGGAAAGCATTTTACAAGGACATGAGACAACTCAACTCACGGTGGTTGAGATAGTCTACTTGTTACTGCACAATGCATAAATTGAAGCGGTTTGCCCTCGATAGCTGATGCTGGGATAAGTGGGATAGTCGTCTGACAATGGTTGAATGAATGAGTCCCCTTATTGACGGTGCGGAGGATCAAATAATCTGCACAATGCATTGAAGGAAAGAGTCTACTTGCGATGGCTGAGATAGTCTGTGATTTGGACAAATACTCAGCGAAACAGTGTACTCACGGTGGCTGGGCCCGACGAGCAGCGGTTGGCTGAGGCTGAGCCGGTTCGATAGCGCCCCGCCGCTGGTCCGTTTGCGAGGAGGCGCCACCGGGCGGTGGTCTGATGAGTTGTTGGTGACGAGCTGGTCCGGGTGCGGCTCACGACCGCCCGGGGAAGGGCTGCAGTCTGTCAAGGGACGGGCAATGCGCTGTTAAACGGTCTCATTCGGCCAAATAACGTCAGTGGCGACGAAAATCGACTTGGGAGCCGCACATAATCAAATACCTATATGAAAAATATGACAATACAGAGCCTGCTAGAGTATTAGAATAAAAATGCATGTAGAGAATATATAATAGTACGGATCATAGGACCAGCAGTTCCTTTTCTACACATAAGCACATTTTTAGTGAAGTGCTGAATAGCATAGCGATAGCTAACAAACCCGAGCCATTGGCCGTTTAGTTGCAAAACTTCGAAATCGGGACAAAGAGGGATGAACTCACCATTATTGGCTTTCCTGTAAGCGGCGTTGTAATTGAGACTAGGTGGCTTGTTCGCCAAATACGGCTTGAAGGCGGAGTTTTCTGAGACGCTCAGACTGGTGGACCGGCCTGGTGTGTTGGGAGGATCTCCATGCGCTATCACGTTGTTAGCCGCATCCCTGCGAGGCTGCAGCGAGACGGGACCATCCGTCTCGCCGCGCCAGCCGAGCGCGTCCGGCCAGAACAGGGAGTTGCCCACCAGCAGCGGGGAGTCGGCGGTGTCGCTGCCGCCGCCCTGCACTATGTAGCTGGAGACAGGAACCACCGCCGGCCGGCCCGGGTCGGCGGCCGCGGACCGCGGGGAGAAGTGTGGCATCGGTGGGACGCCGTTAGCCGACTCCACACCCCGCGGTGTTGAGGTGCCCCGCGGCTGCCGCTGCCGCTGCTGCTCCAGAGATTCCGTCAGCGGCGAATGCTGACCCTCGTTCACCCAGATCGGCTCGTAGTTGTTGGAGCGGCCCTTGTCACCACTCTCGACTGCCTGTCGGAAGCTGTTGCGTCGCTCGCGGGCGTGCCATCCCAGGGAGCTGACAGGAGGCGGCTGAGAGGTGGTCGACGACTCGCCACTGGCGTCGTAGAAGCCACTGCGAGGATTTCGCTGCAGGTCTGATTCGATCCGGCTGAGATTCTGATGCACTTCAGGCCTGCAGTTGGGATAGTTGGACGTCGGGGCAGGTTCCTCAGCAGGTGGCGGCGGCTGCGGCGGCAGAGATTGAGACAGGACATTCGCGTAGCGCGGTCCCTCGCCTACCAAGTCACTGTCCCCGCCGACTGCCGGACTGACAGGACCCGCCGCCAGCACGGGCCCGATCGGACTCGTATCCTCAGTCAGCGTGTCGTTCAGCCCCAGCTGTCGACTGCGCTCCACCAGCTCCGCCTCATACTGACGCAGCAGCTCGATGTTGACATACCGAGGCGGCGAGTCTGACGCTGACGTACCCGGTCCGACCGATGGCCGAGTGACGTTAACGTGCAGCGGCTGGAGAGGGGTGGAGAGTGCCGCGCTGTTTGAAGGAGTCCGGATCGGGGTCACAACGGGAGCAGCTGGCGCCGGCGGTGGGTGAAGACTCGGAGAGTTCTCCAGAGCCAGATACGCTGGGCCGAGGCGCTGGGTGCGCAGCGGGGCCACCGGCATCTTCAGGGACTTGCTGCGCTTGATGGGCAGCGCCGGCCGCCGGTCGTGAGGCGAGCTCCGCCGATCGGCAAGCCGGCTGGAGGGAGAGTACGTCCGTCCGACGACGCGCACCACAGGCGGCGCCGTGGCCACATTGTTCACCGTGACCCCCGGCAGCGGGGAGGTTCGAGCGCGGACCGGAGGCCGGGCCTGGAGCGGCGACCTGGCGCGGGCGGCCGCCGCGGGCACCTGACCGGGAGCTTTGACAGCATCCGGCTGCAGTTGCACCTGCACTGGCGACTTGGCGTGACTGACTTTCCGAGATTGTGACGGCGACCTCGCCCTGTTGTACGTCGTTTCACTCGGTCCGGTGGGTGGATTTGACGGCGGGGTGTACGGCACCAGCTGTCTATCTCGCGGTATGCTGACACTATTAGTCCGAGTCCGACTGTCTGACGGACCCGGCGCTCGGTAGCGCAGCGCCGCGCTGCTCTTGCTGCGGGCGAGCCGAGGCCGGGGCGCGGCAGGCTCGCTCTCTGTCGTCTCAAACAGCTGTCTGAGCCGACCGACGCCGGCGCGCCGGCCCGTCTCGGCCCGGTCCAGCGAGCCCTGGTACTCGGGCTCCGCGGAAGGCCGGACCGCCGCGCTCGGTGGCTCCGGCTCTGGCTGCGGCGCCTTCCGTTTCTGCGGTAGTGGTGGCGGACGGCAGCGCTGTCGCGGGGTGCTCTTACGGTGGCGTGGTGGCGGTGAAGGCGTGGGCGGGTCCTGCACCGGTGGCGGAGCCTCTGAAAGACGGAGCGGCCGGAGACCGGTGTCAGAACCAAGTATTGACATAGGCATCGCATGTAACTACAGTCAGTTCAGCTCAAATTGGAAGCACTAGATCGTCCTGTCCTAGCACCGTCCTGTTTCTAGTCAATTTTCAATAAAATATGATAAAAGAATAGAAATTACGGGCATTCCAGGCGAAGTATTTCCATGACTCATCTTAGAAAAGCATTTTCGTTATACTAATCGAGAAAAATATCACTTAAAGGGACCCTCCCACCTTAAAAAAGTTAATGAATTGGCATAAAAGTGATGTATCGTGAATCAGAAAGAGCGAAAATGAACATCTACCAAATTTCACCGAAAAATATTCACCCGTTTTTGAAATATAAGACTTTTATTTTATAACGCGCGGTCAATGGGCTTGATGACGTCATCAGAGTCCGTTAGTGTTAAGAGATAGGGACTACGCTGGTCCCACCCTGCAAGTAAAGGGAAGAAATTTCTTGAACACTATAAAGCTGCGGGGGTTGCGACCAGGATAAATGGTGGTTTCTGAGCCTGGCCGCAAACTTGGCTATCTCAACTCAAAACTAATGTTAAGGTGGGAGGGTCCCTTTAAGTTGGCACTTGGCTACATCCCAGCTCAGCTACAAACTCACCAACGGCCAGACAGATCTCCTCGTAGTCCCCACTATCGGCCGCCGCCGACGCCGCCAGCACTTTTCCGGCGCTGTCCACGTTGGCGTACGGGTGAGATTCGATGACACGCAGCTGGTCGGCGAACAGCTGTCGCACCGCGCGGTGCACCAGCATGTACTGGTCCTTGGTCTGCACCATGGCGATCCTCTGACGGCGCATCTCCGCCACCAGGTCAAACAGACTGAACGTGGGCGTCAGCTTCTGCGGAAAATTAATGGGGAAAATCGTCACAACAGTGTAAACGAGGGCGTCAACTTCTGCGGGGAGACGCGGGCGGAGCGAGGAGTCATCACAATGAGGGTGTCAGTTTGACAAAAATGGGGAGCAATGGTCGTAGTAGGCTAAACGTGAGCGTCGGCTTCTGCGAGAAGACGCAGGGCGGGGGAAGGAATCGTCATAACAGGGCGCTAAGGTGAACGTCATCTCAATCGGCCGGAGAATAGAGAAGGGCAATCGTCATCGTTTGATCCGATACCCTAAAATCGGGTACCAGTCGTTGTATTTCGTAACAGCTCGTTTTGTTCAGCGATGCCCAAGCTCAATTACGGGAGAAACGGTAAGAGGTTCGCACCCCATGGCGAATCTCCAGTCCATGGTCAGCCTCGCCGTGGATCGGTACGTACCCCGGCCTTGAGGAGTCCCCAGACGTAGTCGATGGCGCAGATGGTACCCGTGCGGCCGCAGCCGGCCGAGCAATGCACCAGCACGGGCAGCGTCTCGCTGGCCTGTGTGTCGCGCAGCATTCGGATCATCTGCAGCAGCGGCACCACCGAGCTGGGGACGCCGTGGTCGGGCCAGGCCGAGTAGTGAAACTGGCACACCAGCCGCTCCTCTGAGGGGACGGAGTGTACAGTCAGAATGGGGAGTGTTAGAACTGGGGCTCTTCTGCGGGGACGAACCGCGTCGTCAGACGGGGAGGATCAGAACTGCTCCTCTGCGGGACACAGCAAAACACTGCCAGCTCAAAACGTTTTCCTTCTGCCATTGGTTTTTCCCTCGTCAAATAAGGCGTGAAAAAAAGATATAACTGCAGATACGGCAGTGTAGGCAAACATTTTACAAGATCTTAGCATTGTGGTTAAAATGATATATAGCTAATAACATTGAGCAATTTTCTTTTAATTCCCAAAGATATGCCTCAACACAACAAGCTTTTATCGTCCGACCGTGTCCGGTCCAGCATAGCACGAAGTCCTACCGGCCCGGTTCAAACCCCCCTACTCCGTTGAGCAGTTGTCTCACCTCGGGTCCCTCCACTGCCCGTGTAGCGCACAGTCAGCTTTTTGACGGTAAAATCGGGACAGATCTGGCGACTCTGGCTCAGCGTGACACCCACATCGCCAAACAGCTGTTCGACATCCTTCTGCTCCGGCACGTAGAGTTCGCACTTGTGCTGATGGTGACACAGAGCGGATCGCTATAGTTAGTGCTCGCAAAGCACCGGTGCATGAGACGTGCGGTCAGAGGTCGGCCGGACGCCTTGCCATAAATAAGGGAAAAGGGAAACGAGTTGTATTCATTTCCCTTATGAGAGTAGGTAGCTTATTGACAGCCCAGCCCAACTGAGTGAATGAGGTATGTGAAATGTGTATCCTGACCAAGGTGTATGCACTATATGCATGGTCGAAGGAATTAGTCACTCACTGCTTTCTGCAGTGAGTAGCTTCATTCTAACGTTCAGAATTGGACACCAAGTCTTCAGTTTTCCCGTACTTTGAGTTATAATCCATCTCAGACAAGACAATCTAGCATAGTATGGCTTTCTGCATCATGATACATTTTTTCACGTTCAAATATTTGAGTTGCTGGTTTGCAAAGGGATATCTCCGGTTACTTTGGAACGATTGAGCCGTCTGAAATAGAGGTTGAACGGAAAAATAAGTCGCAGCGGGCTCACCTTGCCCGCCTCAGTCTGGTTGCAGGCCATGACTATCACCTGGACCTCACACTCGACCGCCATCCTCCAGAAGTCGGCCACCGTGTGCGGTAGCGGACCCTGCAGCAGCATCAGAACACGGCGCACGGTCACAAACACACCAAACATGATCAGGGCCCTGTTTCACCGGTGATAGCAGCACGCTGCTATCACACGTGTCAAATTGGGTTTCCATGGAAACCTGAACAAACCATGCCGTCGTCAATCTGTGTGATGTCATCAAATATTGCTGCTAACATCTTCATGGCCGTGCGAATGTATCAAACGCATTCAATGAGACAGCAACTCTGTTCCAAACGTAGCTATGAAAAAGCTCACGGATTACACGAAACGTCATTAGTGTGACGTCATCACATTACGTCAGCTCGCGCAATTTGATAGTAGCGTGCTGCTATCACCGGTGAAACAGGGCCCAGGCACCAAACCCCGCAAACGTGTTACAAACAAACCAGCTGCACGATCGCTCAAAGAACCAGACAGCATACAATAAGTTATCACGAGTTACTTTACAGACCACTTCTGACATTTTTAACCATGGTGGCATAATTTTTGGAGGGTGGGGGAATATTTTTCACAACTGCACACCACACGAGCTTTGCTTGATTCATACAGAGTATCGCGCGCGGCGTTTTATTCGCCATGCACCGCACTCGGCCCGTCCGTCCCGTCGCACCTGTGAGGCGATGTACGCCGGCGACCCGGAGGCGCCCCGAATATAGTTGGCGTTGATGTAGTCCGAGCCGGCAACGCCCGGGAACTCGCTGAGTACCACCCGCGATACATCGACTGTGGGAGAGGAAACACATTGCGGTCAGCCAACATCCTCCTACATCCTCCGACTGTTTGTTTGTTCATTGGAGCTTTAGGACGCACCGACTACTGCGGTCATTTTACCTCGACCGTGGGACAGGTACCACAGCATAGTCAGCCCCAACCTACCGTACATCGATGGTGAGACAAATAAGCATCAGCCAAAATCCTAGAACAACTCGCGTTACATCGACTTTGGGGACAGGCAACACGCCGCGGGCCTTCAATTGTCCGCCGACCTCTGACACATCAGCACAGGAAAAACATTTCACGACAACCATTTGCTTATCCACCCGAGACACATCTGCTGTGAGACAGGGGTAGCTTAGTATGCGAGATTCATGATGCATCGCCAGCAAAATATGCAATAATATCAGGGCCACTCTATGCAAGCAATGTTCGTTTAGCTGCACCTTCATTGTCATGGATTATTCGAAAATGACAAGAAAACTTACATGGCAATATGTCCTTGTAACGGTTTTTGCGGCGGTTGAATGACTTCTCACCCTCTGTGCAAGCATAGTACTTCTGACTCTTCAAAGAATCACTAATGTTTTTCAGTTCCTGAAAGAGAAGCTAGTCCATCAGGTAAATAAAAAGCATACATACCTACACAGGTACACACAATGCATGCTTCTACTGTAAATATTGCTAAAATTAATATTGGACTGCAATAATAAAATGAGTAAAAAAAAGACAAGCATGAAGTATATACAGGATGAAATGCAAAAGAATCAGCAATCACATAGCCTTAAGCATTCATGAATGGTCCAGCTTGCAAAGTAGGTATGGCAATATCCAAGGCCCTAAATACAGCAATTTCAATGAATTGATGTCTCCAGGCTAGCTGGGCCAGTGCAAAGTTAGGTACTGCCTACCAAGTTGCACTGATAAGTCTTGGTTTACTGGGATATACAGTACACACTGATGCAATTTTTGATAAGCTGTATGTGGTACATAGCAGCACCATGCAGACACATATCAAATGCACTGGCTCTGGTACCTTATGAACCCAGAGGCAATTTTCATAAGCTACTTTTTCAGTTTACAAGTAGTCTGTTCTGAAATTCACACAGGCTATAGACCATAAACCATTACTCTGTGCCTGTCACTTGACCACATGAGATCATAAATCCAGGATAGGTATGCATTACATGAGGAATCCAAAGCATAACAAATCTTGGCAAGCAGTTTGCCTTGGGAGTTAGGACCCATTGCAAATGAGATCACACAATGAGCATCAAGCATGGAGTTTTTCTCCCTTTCTTGACTACAATGAAAATGCTAGGTAATTAATTATTTCAGCTACTACAACCTCTTTCTCTGCCATACTTTGTAATCAGTTGCACAACTGTCATGTTTTTACACCACAGACCAGTAAAAATCAGCAAAAAAAATGCCAGCTGCAGCTATTTTAGGCCTATAAGTAGGTAGCCCACTAAATTCACCAGCCCAACAGCATATTTGCTGCTGTGAAACATATTGGTTAGCAGTTAGCACTAAGCTTGACTTTAAGTTCTCAGCCCAACATTTACTTTTATCACAGTTAAAATTTTTGGATGACTATTGGGCCTAATAATAACTGCAGCTGATGATTTCTGTGTTGGCAAAACAAATTATGAAAACTTACCTGAAATTCACTCTCATATAAATCATCATTTCCTTTCAGCTTTGCTTCCAAGTTCTCCACATGATTGATGAAATTCTGCAATATTGTCTTCAATGGGACTCTTTCATCCTTCATCTCAGCACACTTAAGAGGCTCATGACCAGGAATGGTCGTTTAAGCAATGTATTCCGATCAGATTACTCGGATTTGCCTTTTAATATAATCAGTCAATGCACTACAAATGCAAAGACCAGGACGTAAAATCATGCCAATGCAAATTTAAATGAGAGCTCAATATGAACAAGGGTTCGAAGGGTTCGTAATGTCAGTATCTTCACGGTATCTTGACCCAGACAATAACTATGCCTGTACTGAAGACTGGGTGTGATAGTTATGTTATAAAACTATATGTTTATAAAGCGTTGATAATGAGAGGCACTTTATGCGATGTTCTATACACCCAATACACACTACTTTACGCCCCTGCAACATTTGCAACGTGCCTAACCCAAGCCAAAAGTTACTCCAGGACAGGGTATATTGAGTGAAGGGTAGGACGAACTTTGGTAGGAATTTCTAGTATAACTACTAGAAAACCTACTATATGTGGTCGGGACTAGCAAATAGTTAGTTCAAACTAGAATATGGTAGCGCTTATGGTTGGCAGTCGTGACGCGCACGTGACATTCATTTCTTAAATTTCTTAAAGGGACCGTGTATATCACACCACGGTGAGATTTACACAATACCGGCCATTTGTGTAAATCACACCCACCCCGGTGTGATATACACAAAATCTACTACGTAGTGTAAATCACACCCGGGTGAGGAATACACAGAGAGGGCAGCTGTGTGTATATCTCACCACGATGTGACGTCATAGCAACGCTGAACGTCCATTGGTCAGAGCAGTGACTCTGCTCGCCCATTGGTCAGATCAGACTAAGCACTACGAATATTCCGGCGGGATTCCGGGCGTCCTCTCTCTCGGAATCAGCTGACCGCCTGGCCTAGTGGTGAAGATGCTTGCACCATGATACGAATGTTGCGGGTTCGAGTCCCGTCGGCGCGGGCGCTTTTTCCCGCATTTTCGCTTTTCCTTGGTAGCGGCGGGTTCGCTGCCGACCGACAAGTTTAAAAGCACCAATACAATATGGAAAGCGACGTCTGAATGCTCGTGGCGAAGCGGTGCAGTGCCGAAGGCAATGCCTTAGGAGAGATTACAGGCAATGGTAAGTCAAATATTTTTAGGTTAAGTGGTTGTGTATCTGGCTTCAGGCCGAAGGCCTGAAGCCTGATGCACAACCACTTAACCTTAAAATATTTGACTTACCATTGCTTGCAATTTCTTCATGCGAGTAACTTCTTCCTCATCCACGGGTAGGCAAAAATCAGTAGGTCAGGTTAGGTTAGGTTAGGTTAGGTTAGGTCAGGTCAGGTCTAAGGTTTGGTTAAGTGTCTTGTTACCGTGCCTACTGTGTAAATCTCACCCAGGTGCTGCGTGGTTTGACACCCAGGTGTGATTTACCCACTACCGAGCACACAGTGTATATCACACCCTGGTGAGATTTACACATTGGCTAGGCCTGCTGTGTAAATCACACCCAGGTGCTGCGTGGTTTGACACCCAGGTGTGATTTACACACTAGGAGCACATTGTGTATATCACACCACGGTGTGATTTACGCATTTGCCGGGCCTACTGTGTAAATCACACCCAGGTGCTGCGTGGTCTGACACCCGGGTGTGATTTACACACTAGGAGCACATTGTGTATATCACACCCCGGTGTGATTTACGCATTGCCGGCCCACTGTGTAAATCACACTCCGCGTGGTGTGATATACACAGGAGTAGTGTATTGTGTAAATCACACCCGGGTGAGGTTTACACTACAGTGCGATGCATTATGTAAATCTCACCATGGTGTGATATACACGCGTCCTTTCTTAAAATACAGGTTTTAGGATGTCCGTCAAGACAGCCCATATTCAGCCCAGATTCAGCCCGGATTCAGCCCAGATTCGGGACACCTCCGATCAAGCTGAAACTCGCACACAATGTAGGCCATGACATGCCCAATCCACAGTCCAAGTCATTCGGTGGCACTCCCAGCCGTTTGACCTACAGAGGTCAGCAAAGGTCACGTGGCCCAAAATTGCACAGCAGATTGTGGCCCACCCAGTAGAGCTAGAGCGCTAAAAATGGCACCAGTCGACTCGCCAGCATCTAATCTTACTTTCCCAACACTCATTTGACCTCTCAAGGTCATGCAATGACCTAAGGTCATTTGTGGGCTATGTCGAAAATACACTTGCACAGCAGTTTTCGAGTAGATGGATTGAGCGAATTCCAAGTCAAAGCACATCATCGGGTAGCCCATAGGCCGTAGTAACTTTCCTTGAAAACCGCTTTTCGATATGTGACCCCGTTTGACCTCGGCAGGTCAAAATGTTCAAATAAACGACACTCAATACGTCGCAGCCCGGATTCAGCCCAGATTCGGGACACCTCCGATCAAGCTGAAACTCGCACACAATGTAGGCCATGACATGCCCAATCCACAGTCCGAGTCATTCGGTGGCACTCCCAGCCGTTTGACCTACAGAGGTCAGCAAAGGTCACGTGGCCCAAATTTGCACAGCAGATTGTGGCCCACCCAGTAGAGCTAGAGCGCTAAAAATGGCACCAATCGACTCGCCAGCATCTAATCTTACTTTCCCAACACTCATTTGACCTCTCAAGGTCATGCGATGACCTAAGGTCATTTGTGGGCTATGTCGAAAATACACTTGCACAGCAGTTTTCGAGTAGATGGATTGAGCGAATTCCAAATCAAAGCACATCATCGGGTAGCCCATAGGCCGTAGTAACTTTCCTTGAAAACCGCTTTTCGATATGTGACCCCGTTTGACCTCGGCAGGTCAAAATGTGCAAATAAACGACACTCAATACGTCGCAGCCCGGATTCAGCCCAGATTCGGGACACCTCCGATCAAGCTGAAACTCGCACACAATGTAGGCCATGACATGCCCAATCCACAGTCCAAGTCATTCGGTGGCACTCCCAGCCGTTTGACCTACAGAGGTCAGCAAAGGTCACGTGGCCCAAATTTGCACAGCAGATTGTGGCCCACCCAGTAGAGCTAGAGCGCTAAAAATGGCACCAATCGACTCGCCAGCATCTAATCTTACTTTCCCAACACTCATTTGACCTCTCAAGGTCATGCAATGACCTAAGGTCATTTGTGGGCTATGTCGAAAATACACTTGCACAGCAGTTTTCGAGTAGATGGATTGAGCGAATTCCAAGTCAAAGCACATCATCGGGTAGCCCATAGGCCGTAGTAACTTTCCTTGAAAACCGCTTTTCGATATGTGACCCTGTTTGACCTCGGCAGGTCAAAATGTTCAAATAAACGACACTCAATACGTCGCAGCCCGGATTCAGCCCAGATTCGGGACACCTCCGATCAAGCTGAAACTCGCACACAATGTAGGCCATGACATGCCCAATCCACAGTCCGAGTCATTCGGTGGCACTCCCAGCCGTTTGACCTACAGAGGTCAGCAAAGGTCACGTGGCCCAAATTTGCACAGCAGATTGTGGCCCACCCAGTAGAGCTAGAGCGCTAAAAATGGCACCAATCGACTCGCCAGCATCTAATCTTACTTTCCCAACACTCATTTGACCTCTCAAGGTCATGCGATGACCTAAGGTCATTTGTGGGCTATGTCGAAAATACACTTGCACAGCAGTTTTCGAGTAGATGGATTGAGCGAATTCCAAATCAAAGCACATCATCGGGTAGCCCATAGGCCGTAGTAACTTTCCTTGAAAACCGCTTTTCGATATGTGACCCCGTTTGACCTCGGCAGGTCAAAATGTGCAAATAAACGACACTCAATACGTCGCAGCCCGGATTCAGCCCAGATTCGGGACACCTCCGATCAAGCTGAAACTCGCACACAATGTAGGCCATGACATGCCCAATCCACAGTCCAAGTCATTCGGTGGCACTCCCAGCCGTTTGACCTACAGAGGTCAGCAAAGGTCACGTGGCCCAAATTTGCACAGCAGATTGTGGCCCACCCAGTAGAGCTAGAGCGCTAAAAATGGCACCAATCGACTCGCCAGCATCTAATCTTACTTTAACAACACTCATTTGACTTCTCAAGGTCATGCGATGACCTAAGGTCATTTGTGGGCTATGTCGAAAATACACTTGCACAGCAGTTTTCGAGTAGATGGATTAAGCGAATTCCAAATCAATGCACATCATCGGGTAGCCCATAGGCCGTAGTAACTTTCCTTGAAAACCGCTTTTCGATATGTGACCCCGTTTGACCTCGGCAGGTCAAAATGTGCAAATAAACGACACTCAATACGTCGCAGCCCGGATTCAGCCCAGATTCGGGACACCTCCGATCAAGCTGAAACTCGCACACAATGTAGGCCATGACATGCCCAATCCACAGTCCAAGTCATTCGGTGGCACTCCCAGCCGTTTGACCTACAGAGGTCAGCAAAGGTCACGTGGCCCAAATTTGCACAGCAGATTGTGGCCCACCCAGTAGAGCTAGAGCGCTAAAAATGGCACCAATCGACTCGCCAGCATCTAATCTTACTTTCCCAACACTCATTTGACCTCTCAAGGTCATGCGATGACCTAAGGTCATTTGTGGGCTATGTCGAAAATACACTTGCACAGCAGTTTTCGAGTAGATGGATTGAGTGAATTCCAAATCAAAGCACATCATCGGGTAGCCCATAGGCCGTAGTAACTTTCCTTTAAAACCGCTTTTCGATATGTGACCCCGTTTGACCTCGGCAGGTCAAAATGTGCAAATAAACGACACTCAATACGTCGCAGCCCGGATTCAGCCCAGATTCGGGACACCTCCGATCAATCTGAAACTTGCATTCAATGTAGGCAATGATATGCCCAATCCACAGTCCAAGTCATTCGGTGGCACTCCCAGCCGTTTGACCTACAGAGGTCAGCAAAGGTCACGTGGCCCAAATTTGCACAGCAGATTGTGGCCCACCCAGTAGAGCTAGAGCGCTAAAAATGGCACCAATCGACTCGTCAGCATCTAATTTTACTTTCCCAACACTCATTTGACCTCTCAAGGTCATGCGATGACCTAAGGTCATTTGTGGGCTATGTCGGAAATACACTTGCACAGCAGTTTTCGAGTAGATGGATTGAGCGAATTCCAAATCAAAGCACATCATCGGGTAGCCCATAGGCCGTAGTAACTTTCCTTGAAAACCGCTTTTCGATATGTGACCCCGTTTGACCTCGGCAGGTCAAAATGTGCAAATAAACGACACTCAATCCGTCGCAGCCCGGATTCAGCCCAGATTCGGGACACCTCTGATCAAGCTGAAACTCGCACACAATGTAGGCCATGACATGCCCAATCCACAGTCCAAGTCATTCGGTGGCACTCCCAGCCGTTTGACCTACAGAGGTCAGCAAAGGTCACGTGGCCCAAATTTGCACAGCCGATTGTGGCCCACCCAGTAAAGCTAGAGCGCTAAAAATGGCACCAATCGACTCGCAAGCATCTAATCTTACTTTCCCAACACTCATTTGACCTCTCAAGGTCATGCGATGACCTAAGGTCATTTGTGGGCTATGTCGAAAATACATTTGCACAGCAGTTTTCGAGTAGATGGGATGAGCGAATTCCAAATCAAAGCACACCATCGGGTAGCCCATAGGCCGTAGTAACTTTTCTTGAAAACTGCTTTTCGATATGTGACCCCGTTTGACCTCGGCAGGTCAAAATGTGCAAATAAACGACAATCAATACGTCGCAGCCCGGATTCAGCCCAGATTCGGGACACCTCCGATCAAGCTGAAACTCGCACACAATGTAGGCCATGACATGCCCAATCCACAGTCCAAGTCATTCGGTGGCATTCCCAGCCGTTTGACCTACAGAGGTCAGCAAAGGTCACGTGGCCCAAATTTGCACAGCAGATTGTGGCCCACCCAGTAGAGCTAGAGCGCTAAAAATGGCACCAATCGACTCGCCAGCATCTAATCTTACTTTCCCAGTACTCATTTGAACTCTCAAGGTCATGCGATGACCTAAGGTCATTTGTGGGCTATGTCGAAAATACACTTGCACAGCAGTTTTCGAGTAGATGGAAACAAACGGGGTCACATATCGAAAAGCGTTTTTAAAGGAAAGTTACTACGTCCTATGGGCTACCCGATGATGTGCTTTGATTTGGAATTCGCTCAATCCATCTACTCGAAAACTGCTGTGCAAGTGTATTTTCGACATAGCCCACAAATGACCTTAGGTCATCGCATGACCTTGAGAGGTCAAATGAGTGTTGGGAAAGTAAGATTAGATGCTGGCGAGTCGATTGGTGCCATTTTTAGCGCTCTAGCTCTACTGGGTGGGCCACAATCTGCTGTGCAAATTTGGGCCACGTGACTTTTGCTGACCTCTGTAGGTCAAACGGCTGGGAGTGCCACCGAATGACTTGGACTGTGGATTGGGCATGTCATGGCCTACATTGTGTGCGAGTTTCAGCTTGATCGGAGGTGTTCCGAATATGGGCTGAATCCGGGCTGCGACGTATTGAGTGTCGTTTATTTGCACATTTTGACCTGCCGAGGTCAAACGAGGTCACATATCGAAAAGCGGTTTTCAAGGAAAGTTACTACGGCCTATGGGCTACCCGATGATGTGCTTTGATTTGGAATTCGCTCAATCCATCTACTCGAAAACTGCTGTGCAAGTGTATTTTCGACATAGCCCACAAATGACCTTAGGTCAACGCATGACCTTGAGAGGTCAAATGAGTGTTGGGAAAGTAAGATTAGATGCTGGCGAGTCGATTGTTGCCATTTTTAGCGCTCTAGCTTTACTGGGTGGGCCACAATCTGCTGTGCAAATTTGGGCCACGTGACCTTTGCTGACCTCTGTAGGTCAAACGGCTGGGAGTGCCACCGAATGACTTGGACTGTGGATTGGGCATGTCATGGCCTACATTGTGTGCGAGTTTCAGCTTGATCGGAGGTGTCCCGAATCTGGGCTGAATCCGGGCTGCGACGTATTGAGTGTCGTTTATTTGCACATTTTGACCTGCCGAGGTCAAACGGGGTCACATATCGAAAAGCGGTTTTCAAGGAAAGTTACTACGGCCTATGGGCTACCCGATGATGTGCTTTGATTTGGAATTCGCTCAATCCATCTACTCGAAAACTGCTGTGCAAGTGTATTTTCGACATAGCCCACAAATGACATTAGGTCATCGCATGACCTTGAGAGGTCAAATGAGTGTATGGAAAGTAAGATTAGATGCTGGCGAGTCGATTGGTGCCATTTTTAGCGCTCTAGCTCTACTGGGTGGGCCACAATCTGCTGTGCAAATTTGGGCCACGTGACCTTTGCTGACCTCTGTAGGTCAAACGGCTGGGAGTGCCACCGAATGACTTGGACTGTGGATTGGGCATGTCATGTCCTACATTGTGTGCGAGTTTCAGCTTGATCGGAGGTGTCCCGAATCTGGGCTGAATCCGGGCTGCGACGTATTGAGTGTCGTTTATTTGCACATTTTGACCTGCCGAGGTCAAACGGGGTCACATATCGAAAAGCGGTTTTCAAGGAAAGTTACTACGGCCTATGGGCTACCCGATGATGTGCTTTGATTTGGAATTCGCTCAATCCATCTACTCGAAAACTGCTGTGCAAGTGTATTTTCGACATAGCCCACAAATGACCTTAGGTCATCGCATGACCTTGAGAGGTCAAATGAGTATTGGGAAAGTAAGATTAGATGCTGGCGAGTCGATTGGTGCCATTTTTAGCGCTCTAGCTCTACTGGGTGGGCCACAATCTGCTGTGCAAATTTGGGCCACGTGACCTTTGCTGACCTCTGTAGGTCAAACGGCTGGGAGTGCCACCGAATGACTTGGACTGTGGATTTGGCATGTCATTGCCTACATTGTGTGCGAGTTTCAGCTTGATCGGAGGTGTCCCGAATCTGGGCTGAATCCGGGCTGCGACGTATTGAGTGTCGTTTATTTGCACATTTTGACCTGCCGAGGTCAAACGGGGTCACATATCGAAAAGCGATTTTCAAGGAAAGTTACTACGGCCTATGGGCTACCCGATGATGTGCTTTGATTTGGAATTCGCTCAATCCATCTACTCGAAAACTGCTGTGCAAGTGTATTTTCGACATAGCCCACAAATGACCTTAGGTCATCGCATGACCTTGAGAGGTCAAATGAGTGTTGGGAAAGTAAGATTAGATGCTGGCGAGTCGATTGGTTCCATTTTTAGCGCTCTAGCTCTACTGGGTGGGCCACAATCTGCTGTGCAATTTTGGGCCACGTGACCTTTGCTGACCTCTGTAGGTCAAACGGCTGGGAGTGCCACCGAATGACTTGGACTGTGGATTGGGCATGTCATGGCCTACATTGTGTGCGAGTTTCAGCTTGATCGGAGGTGTCCCGAATCTGGGCTGAATCCGGGCTGAATCTGGGCTGAATATGGGCTGTCTTGACGGACATGGTTTTAGGGGCCGATTAGTGGGCAGATATATTCAATTAGCTATTAATAATTGATTATGCAAACATTCAAGAATCTACATCATTCAATTCTAGCCAAAATCACGCGGCGCTCCCAGGATTCGAACTCACGACCCTCGGATCCGTAGCCCGATGCGCTACCGACTGCGCTACCGAGGACCGCGCGCCGACGATCGGAGAGGCGGATCGCGGGTGCTGGCGTGCAGAGAAATCTTTACCCTGTACGCCGTAGAAGATCGGCTGAGTTTCGTGAAAAATGGTAGAGGAATTGTCGAAAGAAAATTCATCGATCTATCATTTGAGACTAAGAACCATTGATTCCTTCAAAGGTTGACCGAGATATCGCTCGCCGAAAACAGGCCATTTAACATGTAAACCCTATGGGCTGGTAGGAAATGTACGCCGTGGAGCAGCAGTGCTACCAACTAACTTCGGCGGGGGCCGCTCCAGGATGCCTCTATTGATATTGCCCTAGGCGTTTAATGCTTTTGTCTTAGTTTTGGTCACGCTTATTTTGACTTTAATTGCTAATTTTTTGGTTCACATTTTCTCTTAATAGGATTAATTCTTAACAACTATACATTTTTTGTTTAGTTTGGGTAATTTTAAATCAGAATTTGTGTTTCTAGTGGCTTAACTATTATAAAATGCTATAAATCCACGTGACATAAGGCATAGCCAAAATGGCAAAATGCCTTGAGGCTTTCTTCGCCTTGCTTTCTTCCCAAGGGTGCGTTCGGAGAGCGCGGAATATTCCCCGTTATCGTGAAAATTCCCCGTGTTGCGTTCGGAGAGGGACATTCCATACCGCCAATTTCAAGGATCGCCGCTACTGCGCCAAGTTGAGTTCGTGGGATTTTGTTTGGGTTATTTGGGTTATTTGGTTATTTGGAACGCTACATCTATGGCAAGATGTAATAAGAATGAAACTCTTGAAGAAAGAACAACTAAGAAAAATCACAATTATTTTCAAAAAGTCCCATCTGTACTGTGCCCTCCCCCCCCCCCCCCCCCCGCCCACCCCAAACACACACAACACAACACTTCAAATTATCGTTTTCATTGCTTCAGAGGACAATCACACAACTGAGTAAGCATTATCAATTGTTGGATTTGCAATATAACTGATCAGGGTAGAAACAAACGCAAGAAATATCCATTTATATTCAATAATATACTCACTCGAGCATACCGATGGGCGCCGCCATCTTGACGGGAACGACGCGTGAGATGCTTTTTAGATTCCGCGCTTTCCGCGTCCGTTCCGCGGAACTTTCCCCGGGAATCGCTCTCCGAACGGCACATTCGGCGGAAATTTCATGCCGGCGTGGAATATTCCCCGGGAATCTGCCTCTCCGAACGCACCCTTGTGGGTCAACAGCAATTATCAAGAGCTAAATCAATTATTGGCATGATACAAACAAACCAATTTTTACATTTTTATTTTATTTGTACATTGCATCACTTCAATAGTATTTTGTGTGCGAGGGAATTTACGTAATTGTACTCCAGTATAAAAATTGTCTTTTATCAAAAAAATGTTATCTTGAAACGACACCAGGGGCGCATGATTGCAATATTCGCTGTTGTGACGGTTGTGGTGGATGCGTAATGAATTTTCGCATTCATTGGATTTTTCAGATTTGTCTCGTTCGGGTTCAGTCTGTACATGCCTTGTCTGTTGAAGGGGATTTTACATTATTTAATGTTTTTCACTCCAATTGATAGAATTTGAGCCGGCATTACGACTTTCCAGGAGCTGCTGATTGTGATTGGTGTAAGTAATAAAAGGTCTTTCAATGCGCCATTTTCGTCTAGCTCATTGAGGTCAAGCTATATATGGCGTATTATCCATTAAATTTCTGAAATACATTAATAGGAAACACATTTTACTGTACTGGTTCTTGTAAACTATAATTTTGTGTCTGATACCTTCAATATTCATATTAACATGGTTTCGACTTTCGGTGTGGCACATATGGACTCGCCTATCAGTAGATTGGTAGGTATTGAAGGATTTAGATCGAGATATTTGGGTGCACAGTAAAAGCAGGGGCCTGCAGACATTTTCAGACTTCATCCATAAATCTGGTTTTTCTATGCCCAGATTTTAAGGTGAAATCTGGGTATTATGATAGCAAGCGTCTCACATGCTGCCACCGGTTTGGGAAAAGTTGCTAGATTCGTCAGGTCTAGAGATATTTCTACCAAGTCGCTATATAGGGTTATCACATAGCGGTGATTTCAAAAACGGAGTCAGTTTTTTCTGAGCTGGCGGGGGGGCGTTTGGGGGGGATTGCCCCCCTTGCCGATAGCTCGGGAACGGCTGATCGGAGCCAGGCTTGCAAGGCGGCGTTGGAAAGCGGTCGAGTAGACAAGCCTAATTACTTAATTGGTAATGCATACTATCATCGGGATACTGGGGGGGCGTGTGTGTGGGGGGGGTGTGTTGCCCTTGACCGATAGCTCGGGAACGGCTGATCGGGGCCAGGCTTGCAAGGCGGTGTTGGAAAGCGTTCGAGTAGACAAGTCACTATCATCGGGATACTAGGGGGGGTGCGTTTGGGGGGGATTGCCCCCCTGACCGATAGCTCGGGAACGGCTGATCGGAGCCAGGCTTGCAAGGCCCCCCCCCGTATCCCGATGATAGTTTGCATTACTAATTAGGCTTGTCTACTCGACCGCTTTCCAACGCCGCCTTGCAAGCCTGGCTCCGATCAGCCGTTCCCGAGCTATCGGCAAGGGGGCAATCCCCCCTACGCCCCCCCCCCAGTATCCCGATGATAGTGTTTGCATTACTAATTAGGCTTGTCTACTCGACCGCTTTCCAGCGCCGCCTTGCAAGCCTGGCTCCGATCAGCCGTTCCCGAGCTATCGGCAAGGGGGGCAATCCCCCCTACGCCCCCCCCCCAGTATCCCGATGATAGTTTGCATTACTAATTAGGCTTGTCTACTCGACCGCTTTCCAACGCCGCCTTGCAAGCCTGGCTCCGATCAGCCGTTCTCGAGCTATCGGCAAGGGGGCAATTCCCCCCTACGCCCCCCCCCCCCCCGTATCCCGATGATAGTTTGCATTACTAATTAGGCTTGTCTACTCGACCGCTTTCCAACGCCGCCTTGCAAGCCTGGCTCCGATCAGCCGTTCCCGAGCTATCGGCAAGGGGGGCAATCCCCCCTACGCCCCCCCCCCCCCCCGTATCCCGATGATAGTTTGCATTACTAATTAGGCTTGTCTACTCGACCGCTTTCCAACGCCGCCTTGCAAGCCTGGCTCCGATCAGCCGTTCCCGAGCTATCGGCAAGGGGGGCAATCCCCCCCTACGCCCCCCCCCCCAGTATCCCGATGATAGTTTGCATTACTAAAATTAGGCTTGTCTACTTGACCGCTTTCCAACGCCGCCTTGCAAGCCTGGCTCCGATCAGCCGTTCCCGAGCTATCGGCAAGGGGGGCAATCCCCCCCCTACGCCCCCCCGTATCCCGATGATAGTTTGCATTACTAATTAGGCTTGTCTACTCGAGCGCTTTCCAACGCCGCCTTGCAAGCCTGGCTCCGATCAGCCGTTCCCGAGCTATCGGCAAGGGGGCAATCCCCCCCCCCTACGCCCCCCCCGCAGTATCCCGATGATAGTTTGCATTACTAATTAGGCTTGTCTACTCGACCGCTTTCCAACGCCGCCTTGCAAGCCTGGCTCCGATCAGCCGTTCCCGAGCTATCGGCAAGGGGGGCAATCCCCCCTACGCCCCCCCCCCCGTATCCCGATGATAGTTTGCATTACTAATTAGGCTTGTCTACTCGACCGCTTTCCAACGCCGCCTTGCAAGCCTGGCTCCGATCAGCCGTTCCCGAGCTATCGGCAAGGGGGGCAATCCCCCCCTACGCCCCCCCCCCCCCCCAGTATCCCGATGATAGTTTGCATTACTAAAATTAGGCTTGTCTACTTGACCGCTTTCCAACGCCGCCTTGCAAGCCTGGCTCCGATCAGCCGTTCCCGAGCTATCGGCAAGGGGGGCAATCCCCCCCCCCCCTACGCCCCCCCCCGTATCCCGATGATAGTTTGCATTACTAATTAGGCTTGTCTACTCGAGCGCTTTCCAACGCCGCCTTGCAAGCCTGGCTCCGATCAGCCGTTCCCGAGCTATCGGCAAGGGGGGCAATCCCCCCCCCTACGCCCCCCCCCCCCCCCGCAGTATCCCGATGATAGTTTGCATTACTAATTAGGCTTGTCTACTCGACCGCTTTCCAACGCCGCCTTGCAAGCCTGGCTCCGATCAGCCGTTCCCGAGCTATCGGCAAGGGGGGCAATCCCCCCCCCAAACGCCCCCCCCCCGCCAGCTCAGAAAAAAACTGACTCCGTTTTTGAAATCACTGCTATGTGATTACCCTATATAGCGACTTGGTGGAAATATCTCTAGACCTGACGAATCTAGCGACTTTTCCCAAACCGGTGGCAGCATGTGAGACGCCTGCTATAACAATACCGAAATCTGAAACAGACTGTGGGCACATGCTTTTAAAGTCTGCCATTGATTGTGGGCTTTGATAAGGTTGAGACTATATTATATTGGCCTATTCTTTTATACTCTTAAAATTTTATCAGATGAAATTTGTGTTTTGCCTTATTAATTTTGCCATACCTTGTTATTTTTAATGCACTGTTCTGCTCATATTGTTTTCTTTCATTGAAAGTTTATTGCAATTGATATGCATTTTGATTTTTCTCTTTTAATGTAACTACAGGATGAGTTTACTTGTAAAACTCTGTTGTACAACACAACTACAAAGTTCATAGAAGCTTTTAACATAAGTTTTACTGTTAAAGAAAAAAAAATAGAGGCATTAGGCAAATGGAGTGCCAGTCATACTTGTCATCACTTCCTGGGAAGCACAACTCAGCCAGGCAAATTGTTTTGGGTTTTATGCTAATTATCAGCTTTTTATTTGTTTGCTTTTTCTTTTTTATGAAAAGTTTGGGCAATTGGTAAATAATTGTCAAGAAATATGGAAAGTCATGGCCTTCATCCCCCACCCCATCCCAAACACACTTACTTTATCTGACCCTGTTCCCGGTTATTGTCTTGTTAATGTATTACCTTCATCGAGTATGCTGAGTGCTGACATACACATGGCCAGGGGTGCATGCTAAGTCCTATTGCTTATAAGCTGTTTGAAGAATAAATAATGTACACCTATAAGGTTTTAAGTACTTCCAATTATTTTGATAGAATAAACTGGTACCTACCAGAATTTTACAGTAGTATCAGTTTCATATTCATTGTTATATTTCAGATGGTTCCAAAGCCAACCATTGTTGTATAAAAATGGCAAAACTTCAAGACACCAAATTAGCCCCTAATGCATATGTGTGTGTGTTGTGTTGTGTCTCCTACCTCTTGTTCATGTCTTAAACGCTCTTTAATTGCAGGGCTACCAGACAGCGAAACCAGCAAACAGCCATTTCACAGAATCGAGATTATAAAACCACTCTTGGCTCGAATGAATGCTTCTGGTGTGGGCGTGTGGCAATGTGTGTTTGATGCTCTGTCTTGATTTGCGGAGAAAAGTGTGTGCTGTGTGCTCGCGAATTGTCCAAGAACATGCCTCGATGTCGACATCGCTCCTCGCGCTCGCCGAGCGTCCGCCGCTCGCGTTCCCGTGATCGATTCAAGCACATTGAGTCGGAGCGCTCCAACCGTCGCCGTGCTAGCCCCAGCAGCCGTCACCGCCGTCATCGGCGCCGCTCCTCGTCTGCGCCGCGCTATCGCCGACGCCGCTCTTCAACGCCGGACAGTCGTCGACGCGGTGGCTCGACCGAGAGGCGCCGTCGCTCCTGCAGCCGCCAGCCTCAACGCGAGCGACGTCGCCGACGTAGCAGCCACTGCACCAGCGTACAGGACGACGAGAACGGCCACCTCGTTTACCGAGCCGGAGATGTGCTTCGCGACCGCTACCGCATCGTCGGCTTCCTGGGTGAGGGTACTTTTGGTAAGGTAGTGCATGTAAAGGATCTAGCGAATGGTGGACGTTCACGTGCGCTCAAAATCATTAAAAATGTCGAGAAGTACCGTGAGGCCGCTCAGTTAGAAATCAACGTGTTAGAAAAGTTAGCCGAGAAAGACCCATACGGAAAGCAGATGTGTGTCCACCTCTGGGACTGTTTTAACTACCACGGGCACACATGTCTGGCTTTCGAGATCCTCGGAAAAAGTGTGTTTGATTTCCTTAAAGAGAACAACTATCATCCTTACCCGATCGAGCACGTTTTGCACATGGGTTACCAGCTGTGTCACGCTGTTAAATTCTTGCACGACAACAGGCTGACGCACACAGATTTGAAACCTGAGAACATTTTGTTCGTTAACTCTGACTACGACGTGGTAGCGGACGCTCGCCACAAGAAGGAAAGTCGCATGCTGCGCTGTCCCGACATCCGACTCATCGACTTCGGCAGTGCCACGTTCGACCACGAGCACCACTCGAAGGTGGTCTCGACGCGCCACTACCGCGCCCCCGAGGTGATCCTCGAGCTGGGCTGGGCGCAGCCGTGCGACGTCTGGAGCATTGGCTGCATCCTGTTCGAGCTGCACCTCGGCTACACATTGTTCCAGACGCACGACAACCGCGAGCACCTGGCCATGATGGAGCGGGTAGTGGGCCCTCTGCCGACGGGCATGGTGCACAGCACCAAAACCAGATACTATCCGGGCGGCCGGCTCGACTGGAGCGACCGTTCGTCGGCCGGCCGCTACGTGCGTGACAACTGCCGGCCGCTGCGCAACTACTTGTCGCGATCTGACGACGACAACCATCGGCGTCTCTTCGACGTGATAGAGGCCATGCTGGTGCACGAGCCCTCGGAGCGGCTCACAGCGGCGCGCGCGCTACGCCACCCAGCGTTCGACCGGGTGCGCGCGGCGGCCAGTGGTAGCGCGTAACAGAAAGGTGTGTGCGTTACGTGACGGGTGACGTGGACGCGCTGCGATGCAACGTTCAACCCCTGACTCGGTGGGGATTATAGCCCTTAGGGGGCACGAGTGAAGTGATTGATGCAGGAGTGAATGATTCGGTGATCGTTGTGTTTGGTCTAGTTGCTTGTCCTGGGACTGTGACAAGTATATTGGTGTTTGTTGAGCATGGATCGTGTCATCGTATGAGGTTTGTTGGTGTTTCATGCATTTTCTTCTTTTTGCAGGAAATGTGTTTAAGGGTCTGGTGTGTGGCTTGAAAAAGTGTTTCCTTTTGACTAACCCAGAAGGTAACGTTCATTATGTGTTGCTGAACCCTGTTTGAATGGCTGACATCGATATTCGAAATGTCGCCATTGCTCACACGTTTTTTTTTTTGTATTGCGGTAATTTTTGTCACTGATAGCCGTTTGCTGATGGACTTGTTGCAAACTCGGTAGACACGTTTCATGTAAAAATATTATTTTGTTAAAAAGTGTCATCGGGTAAATTTTGACTTTTTACTTGCTATTGAAAATCTTAGGCTGGAATGTATCACGGTCCGAGTTTTCTTGTCCTGGCAGCTCACCTACAGGTGGATAATCGTTTCCCCGACGCTCGATTGATTTTTCTTGATAGAGATGTTTTCTATCGTTGCAGTTTGCAATATACCTACACAATGTGCAACAGCCTAGGAAGTGAATATGTGGCACAGATGTGAAGCTATCTGTTCTGCATTCACTTGCTGGGTTTGGACGTGTTTTCACTCCGCGGGACGATCACTTTAACTGGTCTGGTGATGACTTCGTTCATCAATATCTGGTGGCGAGGAAGTCTAGTTACGGGTTGGGGTCAGTCGCAGAACATTTAGATTTCATAGACCATGATATCCAACACTTCGCCACAGTCTTAAAGGCGAGCGCGAGCCACGCCCACAAAGGATTTGCTTTCACAAAATTTACTGACCGATTCTGCTGTACTTTTCAGGAAAGACGTCAAGTTCGTCCAGAAGCTACTAAAACTACTAAAGCTACTAAAAAAGCTTTTCGGCATTCTAGCCCACTAGACAGGAAGATTGGGGAATCAATGTTTATCCGTTCCCAGTGGCGTCCCAAGGGCGAATTCAAATTGCTAATGAATTAGAATGAAATCCTTCAGGAAAAGAATGGTGCAAATTTATCCAAATTGGTTCTATTCCTTTGCTCCAAAGCTGTGGGTAAAGGGCTCATCTCACTGCGTGGTACTCAATGTTTTCGGCAAAACCAATTATTACTCGGAGACTAGACTATGCTATCACCATGAAATCATAACACGAGGAAGTGCGAGGCTACACAGTCTCCACCTAAGATTTGGGTCGACATTTTCTAAAATTCCAACCATTCTTGGCGGGCGTCGGAAATAACAAATTGCACTGCCTTCAAAGAAAAGTTACCTACCTAGTACCTCTTGCTACTTCCCTGGGTAGATGATTTGTGTAACGGTAGACCCTGTAGAAAGAATGGGGCATCGCACGCCTCTGTTCCCAATCACATCTCAGACAGACCTGACTCGAGTGTGGGTTTTCAGATAGGTGGGGACGCCCCTCTTCCCCTCCCCGGGCTCCCCTCCCTCCAACTGGCCTGCCGTGGCTCCTGTTCGCCCTATACCACCAGGGGAGTATCTACGAGTACTGTAGTGGGTTCAGAAGGTTTTTTGGGGCTTTCTCCCTCCCCTCCGGCTCCACTCGTCTCGTCCGAAGTTCTTGAATAGTTTGAAACAGGGCTGCGGAGTCGATGGATTTTAGGATGACTCAGACTCCGGCTTCAAAAATCGACTCCGACTCCGACTCCGACTCCTACTCCGACTCCGCGACTCCGGACGGTTCTATTAAAATCCATATAATGATATTGAAGTTCATAACGGAGATGTTTTTAATATCTTGCCTGAAACCATCCCTTGTGCGTTCCAAGGCTATGCGTTGCAATTCAGTGGCGGCGGAATAGGGGGTGCAGGGGGTGCAGCTGCACCCCCATCGAAAAACATGGGGGTGCAAACATATCTTTTTGCACCCCCAAAATCCGTACAAGGGGCCCGTCGCACCATCCAGTACATTTCTCCCGAAAACCAGTGATCGGAAAACGAACACTGATGTGGAATCATCCGGGATGTCCAATTAATGTCAGGAGCGCCCCATGCTAGTCTTTGGGGCCCCCACACCGGCTAGAAGTGTCCGAGCCGCGTTTGGTGCTCCACGCGGCATCTGAGGGCCCTTTGATGACGATCTCTGAGGGCTCCCACCTGAGGGCTTTGTCCCCTGGGGCCCTACAACGGCCACTAAGGGCCCTCATGACGACCGCTGAGGGTCCCACAGAGACTCCAGGGCCCCAAGGAGACTCCAGGGGCCACGCTGGCCTCTGAGAGCCCCTATGACGGCCTCTGAGGGCCCTTACGATGATCTCTGAGGGCTCTCACGACGAACTCTGTCCCCTGGGGCCCTATAACGACCACTAAGGGCCCTCATGACGACCGCTGAGGGTCCCACAGGACTCCAGGGGCCCCACTGGCCTCTGAGGACCTCTACGACGGTCTCTGAGGGCCCTTGTGACGGCCCTAGACCCAACTCAAGTCTGAGGGCCCATTTGGCTTCAGACGGCCCAGCGACGGCCTCTCATGGCCTCAACACAACCAGGCTGCAGGGGCTGTGCTGGCATCTGAGGGCTCTGCAACGGTCTAACTATTGAGGGCCCTAACAACGATGGCCTCTAGCGGTCTTACCAAGGCCTCTGAGAGCCCTGCAAAGGTATCTGAGGGACCATGAAGACCCTCAATATGGCCAAGGACCCTCATGACGGCCTCTGATGATCCTCTCGAAGGCTTCTAAAGGCCCTCACAACAACTTCTGAGGACCCCAGGACGGTCCCTGAGGGGCTGAGGGCCCTGACGACGACCTCTCTGGGCCCTCACGATGGTCTCTAAGACCCAACGCAAGCTCCAAAGGCCCACACTGGCGTCTGAGGGCCCCACGACGGCCTCTGAGAGCCTCGACGCAGGCAGGCTCCAGGGACCATGCTGACCTCTGAGGGCCCTCTTGACGGCTTCTAGGGCCTAACGAAGGTTTCAAGGGCCAACGCTGGCCTCTGAAGAACCCTACAACGGCCTCGGAGGGTCTCAACTCAACGCATGCAGGTGCCAGGAGACATGCTGGCCTCTGAGGGCCCCGCAGAGTTCAGATTCAGAGTATCCAACGACCTTTGTGGACCTTACGAAATACGAAGGTCTCCGAGAGCTCACGCAGGCTCCTGGAATTCCACACTGATTCTCAGGCCCCATGTCGGCTTGTTGAGGCACTTTATCTGCTCTTGGTGCCCCGTCGCCGGCCTCTGAGAGTCTCAATGTCGGAACTTATGGGGCCATGGGCCCTACACCGGCTTTTATGGCCCCTACATCGACTCATGAGTCCCAAGATTGGGACTCATGACCCATGAAATGTGGGTCTAAGCAGCTTCTAAGAATCCCCATGCTGGTTCTAGTAGCCACCAGCCGAATATTAGGGCTCACACGCGAGCTCCTGGGACCCCGTGCATATCCCAGGGGTCTACCTGCCTCTAAGACCCCACACATACTTTTGGGGCTCAAAGGCTTGCCCCTGAAGGCCCCACTGAGACCCCTTTCCTCTATTCAGTCCTCCATACCGGCTCTTTAGGCTTAACATCGGCGCCTGTGGCCTCCATCCCGGCTTTGGAGGGCCTCCATACAGGCTTTTTTGGGGTCCGATGCCGGTTTCTGAGAGCCCTCAAAAGACTTTCGAGCCTATACTGCCTTCTGAAACCTTTCAGCAACTTTCAAGGGACCGACCCTGATCGGAGGGCTCATTCAGTCTGGGGAGTCATGTAGGTCTCTGGAGGAGTCCCTATGTGGTCGGTTTCCAAGGGGCTTCTAAACACGGTCTTCTTGAAACGGTCTCGTAGGGCCCTCAATATGGTCCTCTGCGACCTCTGCGGATCCAGAAAAGTGGTTTGAGACGCTGCGGGTGGTGGCTAGACTAAAAGATTAGCCGATAAAAACTAGCTGCATTTGCTTCTTTATGCTTTCATTATTTGATACAGGTAGGAACACTGCAATTTCAAACCTTTTACAGAACTTGTGTGTATAGGGATAGTTTTCCAAAATCTTCGTTTTTCATAAATCAATAATAATCACTCAAAAAAAAACTGAAGGGGGGCCGAAAACTTTCAGAGGGGCCCCTTGAGAAAACTTTGCACCCCCATCCAAAATTACCTTCCGCCGCCACTGTTGCAATTATGCAGAATAGCATGCAGAATTAAGAAGCAGGCTCTGGGGACTTCACCGTCTTCTGCATCTTTCGCTGAAAACGTTGGTCCAAAACGGCAAAATGGCCTTTTTTCGACAAAATCTAATTTCGAGCGCAGTATCGTCAATCAAACAGGTGCCCTCAACGTCAAATCAAATTGACGTTGAGCCATGCAGCGGTAACTCCGACTCCCGAGTCGGAGTCGGTAAGATTTTGGCGACTCCGACTCCGACTCCGGGCAGAACTGGCGACTCCGACCGACTCCAACTCCGACTCCGAATCCGCAGCCCTGGTTGAAATTTGATGGTTTTTGGCTTTGGAGGGGGGGTCATGCCCGCAGAGTCCAATGGATTTTCGGTTAGATCCAAGATTCTTACAGGTTAGATCTGCGTTAGAAAAGAAAAGTTACTACAATGACAAAATCCGACTAAATGTGGTGCCTCAGGGATCAGTTATCACGATCTTTTTCTCCCGTCTCCTCAACGATTTTTTTTTTTTTTGTTTATTTCCATGATCGAATCACAAGTAGCTGCAGCTATAATAATATTATAGTTAATTTATATATTTATTCACCATAGTAGGTTCTCTGGGACATTTCTAGAGGGATGTTCGGTCTAAAAAGATTAATAAAGATGCAGTGAATTAAGTAATTTTGCAGTGGTTTTGAACAGTGAGAGCTGAATTGTTACGTACCTGACGCGCTTGTGACAATCATTTCCTAACTTATACCAGGGGGCTGTCATCCCGAGCTTTCCTATGTGCCGGGCGGCCGACTGTTTAACATTACCCGTGACGTCACCGGGGCGTACACTTGTCAGCTGCGCTTCCCCGCAAGTTTGGCCTTGAATACGATTTTAAGGGTCACGGTTGTAAACAAGTTCCTTTCCGGAAACGTTCCGGAAACGCTGGAAGCGTTGTCATGCTTAAATTTTCCGGAAATTGCTTCATATCTAATTTGCGCCTAAAATCACTTGAAGCATAGGCTCCTTAACGCTTTCCTTATTGTAAAGTGTTGCATTGTCTGCATGGTGAGGAGAACGCTAACCGGTCAGAAGGGCGATGTGTTGTGAGGAGGCGCCGACAGGTCAGGAGGGCGCTGTACGATGAACGCTGACTGGTCAGGAGGGCGATGCATGGTGATAAGGGCGCTATGCTTTGCAAAGGGCGCCGGCTGGTCAGGAGGGCGCTGAACGCGAAGATGTCGCAGACAGGCGAGGAGGGCGCTAACAGGTCAGGAGTGCACTGTACGGTGATGAGGGCTGCGACAGATCTGGAGGACGCTGTCCGTGGAGAGGGCGCCGACAAGTCAGCAGGGCGCTGTATGGTGGGGAGAGCGCCGACAGGTCAGGAGGGCGCCGTGTGGTGAGGAGGATGCAGTACAATGAGAAGAGCA